TCAAATAAAAAAAAACAATCATCAATATCAGTTCACGCAGAAAAAGTTCTGAGGTTGCACACATAAAAAAAAAAACATACAGTCGAATTGAGTACCTTTCCTTTTTTGTAGTCGGTTGAAAACTAAAACCGGTCAAAAGACAGGACGGATCTTGCTTCGTGTTACATGTCGAAACCTGCATAGTGGCATATTACATTCCATTAATTTATTTTAATGCTTAGATAAGTTAATATTGTACATACATTACTGAGTATATTCTCTATATATACACATTAAATTATGTTCATATGTATGTTCGTATTTTATGCGCCGCCATACCGTTAAAAGCCGTGGTAGCTCAGATGGTTAGCGCTCGCTGTGAATTTCACAGCACGCGAGCAACCCGGGTTCGATCCCCGTCGGCACCAATGAAATTGTTAATTGCAATTTTAAGTGCTGATTAACCACGTGCTAGGCCGTGAAGGAAAACATCGTGAGGAAACGTGCATGTGTGAGAAACAAAAATATTTCGAAGACATGTGAAGTTAGTTACCACGCATTGGGGCAGCGCGGAGGTCACTTCTTGGCCCTAAAACCGTTTCAGAAATGAGAGGAAGCCTGTGCCCCGCAGTGGGACGTATATAGGCTGTAACTATAACTTTATATCGTTCAGCAGATTGCTGTTAAACTTTGTCAACATATTCCTTGCACTTCCGCGAAGGTTATAGGCATAGTTGGGACCAGGTAGGTGGCGCTTTTGTAGACTTCAGATATCACCCGTGCGAAGCCGGTTACATTGCTAGTTCTTTACGTAAAAATCAATTGATATCCGTTAGTCTCGTAAAAACTCGGAAATGGCTCGATCAATTTTGATGCATATTTTGTGTGTGTTTAACATTCGCAATTGGACCCGGAAACCATCCGTGCGTATCTTTTTTTTTTGCGCCCAGATGCTAAAGTAAAGGGCTACCCTCCGGGAAGCAGGGGAGGGAGGTGGTGAATGTTCTAAGCATATCACGCAGCCGGCTGCGTGGTTATGTGGGACTCGCTGATAAACCTAAGTGTCTACTCACTAAATACCACCTGAGACTGGCTTTGACCTGGTAAATCCTTTTTGCCGTATCGGAAGCGACCCCCTTTGGGGAAAGGGGGGCGCAGTCTGTGCGTATCCTTATCCAATAAATATACCATTCTATCGCCAAGAATAGATTAATAACTAATTCTATGTTATTGTAATCAAATCGAAGACGATTCAGTATTACTTAAACGGACAATTAAATTAAATATTTTATTACTTAACATAAAGGTATACCGAAATAAACAATGAAAGTGCCATTAGCAGATGATAAAAATATCATAAAGATAATAAGAAAACCGATAAAAAACTGAAAATAATATAAATTTCGATTTAAATGTCCACGTTAATTGCATATAAATATTGTATTTTATGGAAACATATAATACCGGAATTTAATCTAAATGTCACCATTGAAGGACAGCGCTTTTTGCGGCTGAGGAATTTTTACCGGATTACCACAAATCGAAAAGTTTTATATATGTTGATATTTGATATGCATGAACCAATTTTAATAATGTACCAGTGTCATAAACTTAAATTCGCTTGAAAAGTTACAGTTATTTATCGTAAAGATCAATGTAACAAATGTTTTTGCATGCCTCCTGCTGAATTATGGTGGAGTCTACATTAGAGATTAGCATAATATGGATTTCATCGAATACGAATATTCGGCCGAATTTTCGGTAAAAGTTTTGCCGAACTGAATAATCGACCGAACATTATTCGGCAGGATCACCTTGGTACCTATGTCAGAACTTGTTAACGTAAAACGCGCGGAATAAGCGCCGGCCCCTTTCCCTCGCTCCCCCGCCACACCTGACATGTTATTGCATCATCCAGTACTGAGCAAATTGCCGGCATATGCTTATGTTTTGCTAATTTTTGTGAAAAAGAAGTATTTCATTGTGTTATTCTTACTGAAATTTGATAATTATATGACAAAAATGAGTGGCAGGAGATCTAATATTTGGATTTATTTTAGAGAAACTGACGACAAAAGTAAAGTAAAAATTTGGTAATGTAATGTAATGTTTCTTTGTTTGATACCAAAAACACTTTATCAAGCTTTCTATTTGCTATAATTGGAAATAAATCTACAGTGCCCCTAAACATAACAATATAAAAAATACAAGTAGATTCAACCTATAAATAAAATATACTTTCGACAGTAAAATTATGAAAGACATGTTTTACAATTACTCAATTTGTACATTTCATAACATAAACACTCACGACTGTCACCCAGAGGAGTAGGCAGAGACTACAGACTTCCATTTGGCACGATCCTGACACACCTCTCTTGCCTCCTTCACATCCATACACCTACGCATACATGCTCGTCGGTTAAGGGTACTCCTAATTTGGCCCGTTTTCAATAAATCGCCAATTTGGTCGATAAATTTTCGCCTAGGACGTCCCTTTCCGACTCTGCCATTCACTTCTGCAACATATCTTTTCTTTGTTTCTCTCTTTCCTCATTCATTCTTTCCACGTGACCAAACCACCGAAGCATTCCTTTCTTAATCCTGGTCACAACATCATCTTGCAAACCACACTCTTCTCTTATTACACAATTTCTTACCCTGTCATTCAGATTCAGCCCTAACATACTCCTTAACGACCGCATTTCTACTGCGTTTATTCTACTCTTGTGCTTCTTCTGCCACATCTAACTTTCACTACCATACGTTAAAGTAGGGACCAACACAGCATTGTGAATCAGGGTTTCCGATACTTTTTTTGCCGCCAGGCGGTGCTTCGTATGCGTCAGGTCCAAACAGCTGTCAGATAGCACAGATTCCTACCGAACGTATTATTTTTTTTAGTGAAATTTTATGTATTTGGAAGAGTTATTGATTTTATTATGGATTACGGCCAAAGAAAGGTTGCCGAACTGAAAATTGAGCTCAAAAAGAGAGGCGCAAAAGTCACTGGTACTAAAGAAAAGCTCATTGAAAGGTAAACATAATCTACTTCTATTTGTTTCCACAATTTGATTGTTTTTTTTTAACTACTAAATTGAAGTTATTTGTGTTTTAGTGAGTTGTTGTTGATTAATGTATATTATATATTCCAGGCTAAATGACTATGACAGAAACAACAACTTCAAATCAAATGAAAATGATAATTCTCATCTCTTAAGTGAGATTAATTATGTAATAGAATGGCCAGAAGAAAAGTTATACAAAAGTGTAGATTCAAAAACAGTTTTACCCAATTTTGACATTATTAACATAAATACGTATTTCCTTGAATTGTATAAAGACGGCATAGGAATGTCAGATTATTCTGCAGTGCACAGAAGAGGTTATAATATGCTGCAAAATAACTACCTACTCGCATTAGTGACCGCAAATACTAGTACACATATATTTTTCAAAGGTCAAGTCCATTCTGAAAATACAAAAGCCCTCACTTATTTTGCTTCCATTGCCATATGTAATGGAAGTGGATCTATTATACAATCGGTGTGTGAATGTGTAGCAGGGAAAGGACCAAAAGCCATTTGCAAGCATGTGTCAGTTTTGTGCTATGCTATACTCAAATTCCGAGAGCAGAATATATGGTTAATTAAAATGACTCCAACACAAAAAAAACAAGTATGGCATGTACCTAAAAAAAATAAACTTGATGTTTCGCCGAAAAAAGCAGAGAACTTTTCATATGAAATAGCAGAATATAATGTTTGCAAAAAAAAGAAAAGAAGTGTGTGCTATGATCCAAGACCACAGTCCTTTATCAGTCAGGGAAAAGAATGGGCTACAACAGTTAGAAATAAAGTCATTAACTACTGCTCATTGTCACAAAAAAAGAATAGGATTATGTGGAATTTTGGACAGTGCAAACATGCAAGATGTGATACATGACCATGATTACCTACCTTTTCCTTTACATCATCAACTTATTCTTAATAAAATATCTGTAAGCCATTTATTCCAGATGAATTTATTTATTATAGTAGCTACGACTTGTACAATCTTATTGACTGTACTGTAGCAAGCGAGGTGGTGAATCATGAGAAGTTGTAGCTACTATATTTTTTTATTATTTAGTATATTATGTAATCATCAATATTAATTGCACTTGCATAGGGATTGTAGATGTTTGTTTAGGTTTATACTTTCATACTTTCCTTATCCTTTGCCCCTAACAGGTTACACCTGACTCAGCAAAGGAAATTGAAAAGAAAACTAAAAATCAGACGAAGACAAAGTTATGGCATACAGAACGATCTTTTCGAGTGACTGCTTCAAGAGTCGGTGAGATTTGTAAATTTACTGCTAAAAAGGACCAAGAAAAGTATGCACAAAGCCTTATATGTAATAAGAAAATAGTAAGCACGGCCTTAGAATGGGGCAAGTCTATGGAAACCACAGCAATTGAAGCATATGAGGGGAAAACTGGAAAAAAAGTAGAACGCTGTGGTTTATATGTTTCTGTGCAGTACCCTTTCATTGGCGCTTCTCCTGATGGATTAATTGGAGATAACAAAATTTTAGAAGTTAAATGTCCATATTCCATAAAGGATGAAATGATTGGATCCAACAATTATTTCCATTTAGAGCATGATTTGCAACTGAAAGAAACAAGCAACTATTATTACCAAATCCAAACGCAGTTACTTGTCACAGGAAGAGATTGTTGTGATTTATTTATATGGACTAATGTTGATGAAAAAATAATAAATGTTAAAAAAAATGATTCATTTATACAAAATATTATAATCCCTCGAGTAAAAGCTTTCTTTTTTCAATTTATGTTGCCAAAGATAGCAAAAAATATGTATGATTGTTAATATATTTTTATAGTATATTGTAAGATTCTATGTGATAGAAATTAGAACAAAGTTTAATTTTGTATTCTTGTTATTATTTAATAAAGTATGTTTAATACAGTACTGTTAAAAGCGACAACAATTAAATAAAATTGAAAAAAACATATTTTACTTTATAATATTATTTTTGAAATTGGTTAACATAAAACATACAAATATTATTCTATCTGCTAAAGGCACCAATTTTGAATCCAACTTGCCGCTTAAGATCTTAAAAGTTTTAGCCAAACCAATGACCCTTTCAACGTGTATCCTTTCTGAAGATATATTTTTTGACCTTGTCAGTTGAGAAGTCTCAAATTGTCCATCAGTATTTTTTAAAAATTCTGGCACATTAACTGTAACATCTTTATGGCACACTAGGTCTTGTACATTAAAGCCACGGTCACTAAAAATGATATCATTAGGTTCAAGTTTATCAATAAGTCCACATTTTTCAAACAATTCACGATCACTCGTAGATCCACCATATGCATCGGATACAAATGTAACGCAGCCTGATGCTGAAATCCCAATTAAAACTTTTAGAGTATTTGCTGATTTGTAAGTGGAATATGTAAGCTGTTGTGTAAGTGGATTTTTGGGCTTCTCTATTTTTATTTCCGTGCAATCTACTATCACAGTGCATGGATTAATCTTGCCATAGTATTTCATATTTTTATCTATGCATTGTTTTGGCACCCAAACATTTAACTCTTTCAATTTACAATATAAGTAATTGATCCATGTTATGAAAATGTTACTTAGTACCGTTTTATTAATCTTCGATCGAAAGGCGAGTTCTGTAAATAGCATGTTCCGGCGTAATTTAATTAACACTAGAAGGAATTGATCACAAGGGTTTAGAAACGGCACCTTCAATGTTTTCAGTTGAGGATAATATTTTAAACAATTTACTTCATCTCCAAAAATACTAAATATGAATTTGATATGTTCATAATCTTGGAAACCAGTATAAAACTGTACTTCGGCCGCATTGGTTATATCTAGCACATTTGCAATTGAAGATTTTTTATTTTTATTTTCATTTTGAAGACATTCTTTAAGTGTTTTGAGATTATCACTTCCACATAAATCACATTGGATACCAACATCATTCTGTTTCTTCTCGAATTCAATTTCTACTTCGAAAAAGTTTGTAGTTTCCATGAGGAAGGTGTCATCCTTCTCTTTTTCATTGTTTATGTGTACTTGGACACTAATTTTCCTTTCATTTCGCGCCAAACGCCTTTGATGCCGCTCCTTCTTTTTTTGATGCAAACTAGAATTTTGGTCAATCCATGGGAATCGACTTGGCACTGCACATTTTTTCAACACAGGCCTGGCTGGAATAATAATTCAATAAATATAATGTCATAATGAAATCATTTTTGATAAGGCAAGTACTAAAAAACGTTTACACTACATCATTGAAGGTTAGTCGCGCACAGATATAATCAAGGTGACTTAACTGAAGCTTATCATTATAAATAAGTACAAAATATTCTTACGTTTTTCTAATACTGAGTCCTTCGGTAGCTGGTAATCATCCTTTGTGAAGTGGCTTTTGCAAACGAGGCTATTTTTCGTTGGAGTAAATTTATCTCTGCGAATGGCTACAAGCCACTGTTTTAATCGGTTTTTATCTTCTGTAGGGAACTTATGCCCTCCTTTTTTATTTGCACACATAGGCACTGCACAACACTGTGGCATTTTGGAAAACAATATTCTGTTTGTAACGTTTTTAAGGATAAATAAACCAAAAAAATGATCGAAAAATATAAATCGTGTAAGTGTTTTGACAGGTAGTTGGACCTGACACTACAGCGCTGCCATCTCACGGGGAACATTTCAGAAAACCCTCATTGCCATACGTGCCTTTTTCGACACATTTTAACTCTTCACAATAGAGTGCAAGGCCCCATTTACTCTATTTCCCGCATTCACTCGTCGTTCTATATCCTTATCATATCTCCCATCCCTGCTAAATACGCAGCCCAAATATACAAACTCATCTACTTGCTCGATCAACTCCCCTTCTATTCTTATTTCACAAATCGTTTTACTTTCTTCTCTTTCAAAAACCATAACCTTCGTCTTACTTGCGTTCACTTTCATACCCCTTTTAATGTAACCATCATTTGCAACTCGGCCGCCGACGACGCAAGAATAACTTGATCATCGGCGTACACATGGCATTTAACGGTTATCTCACCCATTCTTAATCCGCATTCTTCAACTTTCAAATTTTGCAAACAACTGTCCATAAATAGGTTGAACAGCCACGGGGAAGCCACACAGCCCTGTCTGACACCTTTATGGATGTCAAACCAGTCCGAGTAGACCCCGTTGATCCTAACACAAGCACTAGAGTCCCTATAAAGAGACTCCAATGCCTGTATCAAGCCAGCGCTCAACCCAAATGAGTTCAGTATTTGCCATAGCAAATCCCTATCCACTCTGTCATAGGCCTTTTCCAAGTCCATGAACGCACAAAAAACCTTTTGGTTTTTGGCCAGAAACTTCTCCGCGATCATGCGCATGGAAAAGACTTGATCTGTACATCCCATTCCCTTCTAAATCCCGCTTGCACATCCCAAATTTTTCCATCAGTTTCTTTCATGACCCTTTCAATCAGTACCTTAGCATACAGTTTTCCCACAATGCTAAGAAGGCTGATGCCACGGTAGTTTTTACAGTCCTGCTGTGACCCTCTTCCTGTATATACTGGGACTATCACGGCTTTGCACCAGTCTACCGGTACCTGCTTCAGTTCCCAGCATAAATTAAACAAGGTGTGCAGCAGGCCTGCCACCACTTCCTCTCCAGCCCTTAGCATTTCGAGTGAAACTCTATCATATCCGGCAGCCTTACCTGCTTTCATGCTTTTCATTGCTTTCATTATTTCATCTATACTTATCTCGCTACCTCTTTCCTCTTCTTGTACATTTCAATACAGTGAAAACTTTGAGTAGGTACCACTTTGACGAATGTTCCGTGATTTAGCCGAATATGCGGCCGAATACGAATATTCGGTAAAGCTGCCGAATATGCCGAATACCGAATATGAAACGAATATTCGGCCCATCTCTAGTCTACATTATAAAACATGTCAAGAAATCTGCAAAATAAAGAAATATTATTTTCTATTTAAAAAAAGGAAAAATGTGCACGATAAAAACATTGAATACGCTTATATTTTCGAAATAACATCATATAATAGTGCATATTCATAATATACTTAATATTTTACTCTTAATATTATTTGTAGGTCGTATAAGTACTTTTTCGGCAGTAAAATACCTACTGACTATGAGAAACTAAAAGTTTGACACCATACAGGCACAATAGCAGCGTAAAATAACAGTTCGAAGTTGCTATGTTTCGTATGATGAGTGTAGGGAACCGGAGACCCTTTTTACCATAAACGAGGCATTCCATCTTACTTACTTAGTCCTCAAGGGTGGCACCGCATCTCTGCATTTTAATTCGAGGATAGATGTAGATGTCTATGGGCCACAGCATACACTTACCATCAGGTGGACTTTGATCGTTTGTTGCTCATATTCTATAAAAAAAGTCCAGCTATAGGTGCACTTTAAGTCAGGAGTTATTTTGGGTTAATACTAGAGATGAATCGGATAGCTGTTTGGCTGGATACCGGATATTCGGCCAGTCTTATCGCCGGATAGCCGGATTTCCGGCCGCCGGACTCTCTGCCGAACCTTGCCGTTTGGTGCATCGCAAGAAGCGAAAAGTAAAGTCAGTGCAAATTCGCGATTTGGCGGGCAGGTATTGCTACACAATACCCTTTATCAAAGTTTGCTAAAATCTATCTTTCAGTACCTTGCAGCAGTGTGTATAGCGAAAGACTTTTTCTGAAGCTGGCCCTGTTTATGAAGACAGACGAAACCGCTTATTACCTTTCAATGCAGAGAAATTAGTATTTATTCACCATAATTTGCGTCAAATAGCGGCTTACCACTGCCGTGTTTCATGTGGTGAATGTAAAGAACCGTAGACCCTTTTATACTGGAAATGAGGCATTCCATAATAGTCCTCAGGGTTGGCAAGTACAGATCTGTATTTTGATTTGAGGATAGATGTAGATGTCTATGGGCCACAGCATCCACTTACCATCAGGTGGAGTGTGTACTCGTTTGTCACTCTTATTCTTTAAAAAAAAGTTAATTGCAGGTGTCCATGGTCTACAATAGCCATTTAATATCATCTGATGGATTGTAAGTTTTTATCTACTTAATTTTTTCAAAAAAATATGATTCTAGTTAAATTTATGAAATCTCATCGTAAGATACTTCTATTTGAATAAAGGTTAAACAATGTAAGATAACAGCCTACGAGCGTCCCAAACCTTTCAAATGAGCAGAGCGATGTTCACTCTGCAGCTCTTGATCCTGTTGATGAACTTATACCTCCTAGACTCATATTTGCAGGTCTTATGAACTTAGGTTACATAAATATAGCTAGATCCATTGATAGGAAGGAAATACAAAAGGGATGCAAAAAATCTAAATAAAGGTTAAACAATGCAAGATAATAGCCTACATCCTACAAACGTTCCGAACATTTTAAATGAGCAGAGCGGTTTTCAACCTTCAGCTCTTAATCTTATTGATGAACTTATAAGTCCTAGACTCATATTTGCAGGTCTTATGAACTTAGGTTACATAAATATAGCTAGATCCATTGATAGCAAGAAAATACAGAAGGGATGCAAAACAATCTTATCTTTAGACTATGTATACTATATAAATAAAGGTTAAACAAAACAAGAGCCTTCATCCTACAAACGCTCCGAACATTTTAAATCAGCAGAGCGTTGTTAAACATTCAGATCTTGATTTTATTGATGAATTTATACGTGCATTTATATTTGCAAATCTTATTAACTAAGGCTGCATAAATATAGCTATATGCAATGGTAGGAAAAATACAAAATGGATGAAAAGAAATATTTCCACATTATAACTTTTAAAGCCAGTATGTATCAAAAAACTTGATCCAAAACCTATCGACTGACATGACTTATTTATTGCTTGCTTTTCTGAATTTAATATTAACGGTAATTTCTAAATGGATAGTAATAAGCTTTTATTATTAATCATATAGAAAATTAAACTCAACTGTTTTATCCTTTAAAATCTGTAGTTATTTTCTTTAAAAATGTATGTCAGACAATTACTTATTAGCGGTTATCGAATAAAAGACACTTTAATAATGCAAAATCGTATAAAGTTGACATTATATTACATATTGTAAGAGATCGGCTATTTAGACTTATTTTAGAGAAACTGACGACCAAAGTAAAGTGAAATGTACTAATGTAATGTAATGTTTCTCTGTTTGATTCCAAAAACATTTTATCAAGTATTCTATTTGCTATATTTGGAAATAAATCTACAGTGCCTCAAAAACATAACACTGTACAAGTATATTTAACCCGTAAATTATACTTTCAACAGTAAAATTATGAAAGACGTGGCATTACTCTATTCGTACATTTCAATACAGTGGACACTTTGATTACTACTTTGACGAATGTTCGGTGATTTAGCCGAATATTCGGCTGAATAAGAATATTCGGTAAAGCTGCCGAATGCCGACTATGAAACTAATATTCGGCTCATCTCTAATACTATATCAAATAATAGGAGCCAACCGCCGCTTCTTTCTTCTTCTACATATTATGAGACAATTCTAATACATAGTCCCGTTAACTACTCCAACTGCTTCGTCAGGGGTTGCGTCCAAAAGTACTGAAAGCAGCAGGTCGTATTGCGTGTTGGTCGGCGTTAACATTAAAAAAAAAGTTGTCATATTTTTACTCTCACGTCGCTTCTAATGATTAAGGGAAGAAACTCAGTAGCCGTGTCACCGTGGCGTCAAGAAATTGTTCTGAATTGCACTCACGTTTAATTTTATAGAACGCAATCAAATCTAGTTTATATAGAAGCGGCATAGACGCGTGACCTTCTCGCTGCTATTATGTGTTGACGAACATCACTCACCATTTTGTGATTTAGTTGCGCGGGAACGTCGTACGTGAATTTATGTAAATATAATTTACAATGGTGAACTGCAGCATAATCACTAGTAAAAACTCATCAAAGACGTGTAATTAATAGTGTAGTAAAAATATATAGGAAACACGCCACTATTCTATTTACGCTCCGCTTAATGCTCTGTACTGAGATCTGTGGTCCTGACGACTCATCGTCATAACAGCCCTTCACAAGTTCACTGATGAACATAGATGATGATGACAAAGTAAGTTTCTAAACCAACTGCATCGTCGTCGCTCCATCTAATGGGTCGCCACCCTGACGCCCTAAAGATAAGAGATAAAATATAATATTATCTCTAACGTGAATTTATGATTATTAAATCTTTAGAAGACTACATCGGCCTGCATAAGTACAATAAATGAACAGTACCGTCAATGTAACGGAATTTTAACATACGGAATAGAAAACGGTAGATATTAAAAGCAAGAAAATTTCTAGGAACTTCTAAGTTATTACGAATTGTATGGCGTATATTAACTTATTTTATATGCCCGACGTTTCGAGGAGTTTACAGCACCCATGATAACGGGGAAGACTGAGGTATTCGACATCCCAATGTCACGGTTAACCACGGATACCTTCAGATTAAAATTATAAATTTTTGGTCCGATCTACGCAGTATGACCT